TATTATCAAAAATTTTATATACTTACATCCATCGTATCAAAATGAAAACAATTACAAAGTCTAAAAACAAAAAAGGTGTTCTATAGCAAAGTTGCTAATAACCGGTTCGTGGACAATTTACGGAAAAAAACAGACTTTAAAACCGAAAGAACAGATTCTATAGCGGGAAATTCAAATTTAAAGAAAAAAATAAATAATTAAATTGATTATTAATTAATTAGTAATTAATTATTAATTGATTATTAATTAATAATTAATTAATTTTTCAATAAATATTATATTATTAATAAAAATAATATATTTAAATTATTTATAACTTAAAAAAAAATTTTTGCGATGAGAAAATAATTTTTTTTGACAATTATTCTCGGTAAAAAAAGTTTATTAACTAATAATTAAATAAATAAGTTAATTAATTTTTTGTACAGTAAAAATAAGCCAAAAAAATTATTTCTAGCCCAAAAAAAATTAGTACGAGAAGAAAATATTTTTTTTCAATTTTTCAAAGTAAAAAAAAATTAATTAGTTAATTATTCAATTAATTAGGTAATTAATTTTCTTTTACAGTAAATATTATTCAAAAAAATTATTTTTAGCACAAAAAAAATTGTTGCGATAAAAAAATAATTTTTTTTACAATTTTTCTCTGTAAAAAAATAATTCATTACCTAATTATTGATTTAGTAGCTAAACACACGCGCGCAAGCGCCCGTGAAATTTTCATTTCTATTTTCTTTTAATTGTCATTCAAATTATCTAAATAGTATGATAATTAAAAAATATATAGAAATTTTTTGTCAATAGCTTCCAAAAAATATCCAGAGAAATCACTTTTGAAATGTCTGAAAGTTTTTTGTTAATTATTCCACGTTGGTGTTACTTATAATTATTTATAAATTTACATTCATTTTTGTCTTTAATTTTAGGTATATAAAAAAGAAAAATTTTTATAATACATACAAATTTTTATTGTAAAGAAGTGGTAAATGGTAAATTTTTATGCATATTTATATATATTTATTATATATGGGGGATCTCGGGTGAAGTGATCAAAGTAAAAAAAAATTTTGTCTCAATTTCGCTCAAACTGGAGTAATTTGTACTTCTATTGGGTGGTAATTTATCGTAAAAAAATTTTTTAATTTGGACCAATATTTACTCGGGGAGAGGGGGTTGAAGTTTATGGGTAGCGTTTTCTTTAATAATTTTTTTTTCTTGAGTATCAAAAAAAAAAAATTTTTATCAACATCAGTTTCGATAGCTTTTTTAATGCTATTTCGATTGAGAACATGCATTTTTGAAAAAAAAAATTTTTGAACCAAAAAAAATTAATTTAAAAATTTTTTTTGACTTTCTCGGGGTAAAAGGTACGATTTTTTTTTTTTAAAGGAAAGCTGAGATTTTTTCCTGTAGGGACATGTAGTTGAAAAAATGGGACAAGAAAGATTAAACCTTGAAAATTAACATTTTTTATTCACTTTAGCGCTGCGTTGCGATCTACCACGTGACACATTAGTAGTATGGTATTTGGAGAGAAACATTAATGCTCTCTGCATTTTACAGGGTTGAAACTGTTATTGAGTAAATACCTGTATTTCATCAACGTTTAAATTTGGATAATAATAAATGAATAATAATTATATAAAGTGGAATCTTGGAAATTATAAAATCGGTTCAAAAATAAATGTAGCATACTAATAAGAGTTTACTTTATTATAGTAATAAGTCTTATCAAATAAATACTCATTTATATCAATTCATCATTTATTTGGTTATTAATTTATCCATTTATTCGAATATTTGACTGCAATGAGTCTTTATTTGACTAAGAAATAATATAAAATGAATATTTTTTTCATTAAAGTTTTCTTCATAATTCATTACTTACATTATTATTGATGGAGACGACTGCTTATCCCCGAAAGGACAAAATGTCGAATGGACAAAACGTCGAATAGCAAAACGTCGAATGGACAAAATGTCGAAAAGTCAAGACGTCGCATAGTCAAAACGTCGAATAGTCAAAACGTCGAAAGGTCAAAATGTCGAAAAGCCAAGACGTCGAACGGACAAAATGTCGAAAAGCCAAAACGTCGAACGGACAAAATGTCAAATAGCCAAAACATCGAACGGACAAAATATCGAATCGCCAAGACGTCGAACGGACAAAATGTCGAATAGCCAAAACGTCGAATAGCCAAAATGTCGAAAAGTCAAAACTGCGAATGGACTAAATGTCGAAAAGTCAAGACGTCAAATGGTCAAAATGTCGAATGGACAAAATATCGACATTTTGTCCGTTCGATGTTTTGGCTATTTGACATTTTGTCCGTTCGACGTTTTGGCTTTTCGACATTTTGTCCTTTCGATGTCTTGGCTTTTCGACATTTTGACCTTTCGACGTTTTGACTATTCGACGTTTTGACTATGCGACGTCTTGACTTTTCGACATTTTGACCTTTCGACGTTTTGACTATTCGACGTTTTGACTATGCGACGTCTTGACTTTTCGACATTTTGTCCATTCGACAGTTTGTCCTTTCGGGGAAAAGCAGTCGTCTCCATCAATAATAATGTAAGTAATGAATTATGAAGAAAACTTTAATGAAAAAAATATTCATTTTATATTATTTCTTAGTCAAATAAAGACTCATTGCAGTCAAATATTCGAATAAATGGATAAATTAATAACCAAATGAATGATGAATTGATATAAATGAGTATTTATTTTATAAGACTGATTACTATAATAAAAGTAAACTCTTATTAGTATGCTACATTTATTTTTGAACCGATTTTATAATTTCCAAGATTCCACTTTATATAATTATTATTCATTTATTATTATCCAAATTTAAACGTTGATGAAATACAGGTATTTACTCAATAACAGTTTCAACCCTGTAAAATGCAGAGAGCATTAATGTTTCTCTCCAAGTACCATACTACTAATGTGTCACGTGGTAGATCGCAGCGCAGCGCTAAAGTGAATAAAAAATGTTAATTTTCAAGGTTTAATCTTTCTTGTCCCATTTTTTCAACTACATGTCCCTACAGGAAAAAATCTCAGCTTTCCTTTAACAAAAAAAAAAAAAATCGTACCTTTTACCCCGAAAAAGTCAAAAAAAATTTTTAAATTAATTTTTTTTGGTTCAAATTTTTTTTTTTTCAAAAATGCATGTTCTCAATCGAAAGAGCATTAAAAAATCTATCGAAACTGATGTTGATAAAAAATTTTTTTTTTGATACTCAAGAAAAAAAAATTATTAAAGAAAACGCTACCCATAAACTTCAACCCCCTCCCCCCGAGTAAATATTGGTCCAAATTGAAAAATTTTTTTACGATATAATTACCACCCAATAGAAGTACAAATTACTCCAGTTTGAGCGAAATTGAGACAAAATTTTTTTTTACTTTGATCACTTCACCCGAGATCCCCCATTTGTGTTTAGCGACCCTAAAAACCCCCGAGTAACAAATTTCAAGTGAATTTAAGCATTTTTTTTTACTTTTTTCACCATATTGGATCCGCCATCTTGAATTTTTTATTTTGCCACTTTGCATTTTAAAGTAGATGTAATTACCTAAATTTTAAGCCGTATTTGAACTTTTTTCATTTAAATCTATTCTGGGGGCGGGGGGTCTCTCGTTAACGTGGAATGCCCCATATATATATATATACTATTAATGCATGGGTGTTGAATTTTTATCTGTAACAGATAGCAAGCAAGCAGTTGTCATTTTAACATTGGCAATAAGGAAATAACCGATATTTGAAAAAATGTAAGACAAGAAATGGCATAGAATATTCGAGCGTTTTAAATAAGAAATTGATTGTATGACAATCTTAATCACACAAGAATAACAATACTCTGGTCAGAAAGTGCATCACTAGCTAGGAAGCATTTAGTGAATTAATTTTATTAATTTTCTTATACTTCCGTTTTTTTAATTTGTTTCACTATAAAATATTTGCTATGAATATCCAAATTTTCCAATCAATGAATTTGACAGAAACATAGTAGATTGACATTTTATAAATAGTCGTATTTAAACATAACCAAATAATGTCATTATATTACTATCACTAATTTTTAAAATATATGCGTCCTGGAAATAAACAATAGCCAGTTTCATAAATTTCTATAAATTACCGTTGGCTGTAAATCATTAACGACGTAAATATATCTTTATACATTCACATTTTTCATTAAACAGTCATCCAAAGTTCTTATTAATCACATTATAAGCTCTAAAATTTTATTTATGACTTAATTATTTGAAGAATAATGATATCTTGTATAAAACATGAACTTCAGGGACTGTCCCTGAACTGCACATTACTCTGAAGTAACTTCCAGGTCCGGCCTGGAAGTACAGAAATGTCCCTGAAATGCACGCCTGATAACCGTTTACGTCCCGGAATTACACTTTGGACAAATATATTCTTATATTTGCACGGAGAGAAAAAGCATGCGTTTTTAGTATGAAAGTTGTTCATACTAGGATAGTATGAACCGTTCCTAAGCTTAATGTAAGAATTCATGCGTTTCTAGTATGAGAGTATTGCATAGTTTAACTGTATGCCGTACATAATCCAGTTGTATAAGCTTCATACTCTCTCGGTATGATAGCTATACAACTGACGATTAAGCCACGCCTTCTTTCAGCTTGCTCATTTCCTATCGAGAGAGTATCTTGTGAATTTGTTGCTGATCCCCGCATAATTTATTATTATAAATTATTGTTATAATAATAATAATTATTATTATAAATTTGTGAAAATATATTATTTGGTGAAGTGACAAATTAATAAATAAAGAAGTGTTTCCTGCTACATTTACATTTTACATTTATTAATAATTTTTTATAATTTCATAAATATTAATAAAAATACATAACATATTCATCTTAACTTCATCTTTGAAATATAATAAAAAATTATTTAAATAAATCAAAACTGAGCAAAGAATTGAAAGCGGGCAGGTGATTCAGAAATATGCAAACTGAAAGTGGGCATGGCTTAATAGTCTGTTCTATGAGTATCATACCGAGAGAGTATGAAGCTCATACAATCGTAGTATGTTTGTATTACATACCTTTGGCGTATGGACTTCTTACTGCGAAACTAGGAATGTCATACAGTATTCGCATGAGAAAGTTTCATACATTAAACGTATGCCTCTTCATACTAAAAACGCATGGTTTTTCTCTCCGTGTGTATATATATATTATATATATATTCTTATATACACAATATTATTAATAAACACGTAATCCTCAAATGAATTTTCACAATACCATAAAATTGTTATATTATATTTTATTAGAAATTCTATTTGTATTAATATATATAGTTATTCACTTATGGAAAAATTTTAAAAGTTAATAATAAACATGAAGTTTGTAAAATTATATTTTCACTTCAATCATTTGCTTTTATATTCCCAAAATTCATGTTTATTATTAAGTGTCAAAATTTTTCCAAGAGGGAATAACTATTGATTAATAGCAATAAAATTTCTAATTAAATAATATATAACAATTCTATAGTATTATGGAAATTCATTTGAGGATTACTAGTATATCTATGTAATTAATATTGAAATATTAATTTGAAAAAAACTTTATTAGTAATAAGGTTACAAAAATTTTGTTAACAATTACTTTTATAGTTGTAATGTTAAAATTTTATATTCATTTATATTGTTTTATTTTTTTTACAGTTATTTAAATAAATACGATTTAAAACAATCAAATTTGCAAAATCCAACTCCCAAACAAATTATAAAATTTAGCACATGGCTTTTTGGTCTTGACGCTAATAAAATTGATAAAAATCTTACTAAAGTTATTCAGAATCTAATTAGGAGACACAATTTAAAAGAACACGAAGCTATAGTGAAATCCATAGATAACAATCCAATAAATGGTAAAGATTTAAAAAAAATATGTAAAAAAGTACAAGGAAGAATGTAAGTAATAATCATTTATTTTTTTCAAATAATGCAATTTTTAATTTATGTTAATTACTAATTACAATATGTTTATTTAAATCTTATGCAATAATTTTAATTTCTTTTTTATTTATTTATTATTTTTCATGAATAATTTTCGAAATTGTTTGCTTACTTTCTTGGAAGAATCACATTATTATTACATCAATGTAATTAGTAAAACGTTTAAATTGCATATTATTCATAATGTTACATTTGCTTGAAATGAATTTTAACAAATTAATTATAAATTGAATTTGTATATTGTTTTATTCTTAATTCTTTCAGAGTTAAAATTTATAATGAACTTTATGATCAAAATGAAAAAGAACCAATATTTGAATTAAATGAACATTATGACATCAATGATATTAATATACCTGACAACCATGTTGTACCTTTAAAAAATGTACATAAACCTACCCCAAGGGAAAATGTGAAAGATATTCAAAGACAACAAAAATATTATAATGTACCATTAAATAAAAAAAGAACTCGTCAAGGTATTATTTGATTAAATTATGATAATTATATGAATATTAAACATATTTTAAATGTATGTTGACATTTAATATTATAATAACATATTTCATTATTTATCTTTCACTTGCAGATAGTGATAATTCCGAAGAAGAAACAGGAAATGAAAAAAAAAAAAATGCAATATCGAAGCAAAAAAATCTTCCCAGGAAAAAAAAACCCCTTCAAAAAAAATGAAATTGCAAAAAACCAAACAGATTACTCACACCATTGAACAAACAGAAGAAAGTAAATTGCTGATAATAATATTATTTATAATACAATATTTTTTCTGTTTTTCTACATTTTATATATTAATTTCATTTAGTTTGTTATCAGATTGAATTATTAACATTTTCCATTTTAAAAAAAAAAATTTAACTTATTTTAATTTAACGTCATTCAATATTAATATTTTAATATGATAAATATTAAATGAATGAATTAATACATAATGATATTAAAACTCTACAGATACAATGACGCTTGAAAATAGTAACATTAATGAAGATAATGTAAATACAGAAATTGAAAAAATAACAGAAAATATTCAAGACAATGTAGATCAATCTGAAACAATTCTTCAACCCCAAGAAGATGTTATTGCAATTGAAAGAAGTAAGTTAAATTAAATCGTTATATTTATCAGTTTATTACAATGAAAAAGAGATGTCATCATAACATTTTAACGTATTGCTACTGTTATTAATACAACGTTTTCCTAATATTATTATTTAAACTTTTTGCTAATATTATTAATTCCACGTTTTCTTCATATACCAATATTGTTACATGTCATCCATTGTAAATAATAATTTATTTCTGAATGTTGATTATTTAATATTTATTTCATAAAATTATTTTTTTATTTCTATATTCCAAACTTCTTTATCATTGTACATAAACGTGTAATTGAATTGTTATGTAGATGTTATGTAGATGATTTATACTAAGGTAATATTAACGAAATTAATTTTTAATGAACTAATTATATTTTGTATTAAACGTTTTGCTAACATTCATTATATCATTAAAAAAAAGAATATTAGCTTTTCAAAGAAATTATACAAATAATTTTATAAAATATAAAATAACTTAATTAACAGACGACAATCAAATTCAAAATATGTTACGCGATTTTTTGGAAGCTTCCACATCGGGTGTGCCAACAGTGAGAATAGAAGACACTGACATTCAAAGGATTGCCACGGAAATGACAGCATGTAATTTTGATGCTTACCCTTTAATGAAAAATATATATTTTAATAAATTAAAAAAACCAAAATATACTTTAATTAAAAAGAAAGATATAGTATGGGTGCAATATGGGAAATATGATATATTACCAGCCAAAGTTACAAGTAAAATTAATATTGCTGAGGGGATTAGAATTAATTTTTTTGAGGATAATAATGATATTTTTAAAATAACCAAAAAGTTTTGGCCTTGGGAATTTTTTATTGTTCCACGTCAATTTAATAATAATGAAAATAATGTTAAATTATTAGAGTGCTTGAAGAAAACAAAAATATGGGCAATTCAGAATAATTTTACTTCAATAATTACTTCTCTAGATTTTCTAAGAATATAAGTAAATTATCTCTTTTTTGGAAGTAAAATTAAAAAGATTACACAAAAAAAATAATTAAAAGATATTTATGTACATGTTATTATTATATGTTACCATTAGTAAGATTACAAAAAAAATAATTGACATTATTTGTAGTTTAATATTGTTTTTTTTTTTATTATTAACAAAAACTTATTTTATTATACTTAAAATTTAAAAAAAAAAAAATTACCATGGACAAAAAAAAAGATAGTAAACGTTATACTAGAAAAACGTTTATATAAATAAAATATAGGTAATTTAAAATAATATTAATGTAATGAAAAAAAAGGTTAGTTAGTTCAGAATTATTTATTGTATAATTTGAAATTTTTTATTATGGTGTCAAAAATTGTATATCGTATATCGCTATTACATCAAAGTAATATCTAAAAATGTATATGTATTACATATTAATGTCATTTGGTTATAAAGAAATTAAAGAATGTATATCACATGTTTTTATGAAAATAAAAGTTCTGTTAAAAAAAAAATGTCTTTAAAATAAACAGAAATGTTAGCATTCACAAAAATGGGAGAATATTGTAATAATCATTAATTAAATCTCATTCATTTGATAAAAATAATCCAGTGGACTGTAAACAACTTCGTGCTTTCTTTTAATGTTTTTTTTTTTGGCCAAAAATTTATAACATAAATGTTGGGGACATTTATTTGCATTGTTATGAACAATGTCTTCGATGTCTGTAATGTCGTTAGTTGAAACAATATCCTTATACTTCTCATAAGTTTTGGTTTCACCATCAGTTAAAAAAGGGCAACAACCATCATATTTAATGTTACTATTATTTTTCTGAAAATAAAAATGTTTTTTAAACAAATATAATAAATATTTTTTTCTTTCTAAAATATTGTAAAATCTAATTATTAACAATGAATATTTAGAAGATCTTAAGCAATTTTATATACTATAATACTTACACCAAGTGTTTTGCATGTTGGTGTCTTATATTGTTTTTTTTTTCCAACTAAACCGTAAGTATGGTTTGTGGAATAGATATACTTCTTTGAATTTTCTTCCCAATTGTGATTGCACACACTCTTATTCAATGATGGTTGACTATAATATGTTTTTAATAAACTTATAGCATCACCAACATCCAATCCAATGTCTTTTAAAAAACATGTAAAATAAAATCTTCCGAAATGTGTTAATCTATTGAAATGTTGTAATTGATTTTTCAAAATACCCATACAAGGAGGATAGTGCTCAAAAGTGAATGAGGTTAATGAATCTGAATTAATCGGTTTGCTAATATTATATTTCATTGGTAAGAATTTATCTATAATTGTCAAAAGATATTGCAATTGCATATTATTATTAATAATATGTTTATAAACAGAAGATTTTAATTCTTCGGATTCGATTCTAATTTCAAACATTGAAATGAATAATTTTTTCATATACATGCATGGCACATAAGCATAACCATTTTGTAATGAAACTAATCGGTTAGCAACAAGGTGAGGAACAAATTCAAAATTAACTGAAAATTAAATAAAATTCATTGATTAATAATGATTTAATATTATAATATACATATTGTTAGCTTATTCATATAATGAAATACCTTTAATTATGTGATCTGTACAATTCATTGATTTATTTATTAAATGATGCAAATTAATATTTTTATAATGTTCTCCTATTTCCTTTATTACTTTCCAATAAGTTTCATCTAAATGTTCTACATCATTTTTGTCATCGTGTAGAAAATGTTTGAATATTAATAATAAGTTATACGGCGTAATATTTTTGATTCTTCTTTTAAAAAAATTAATTTCCTTTTTTATCCATAATCTTTGAACGTTCTCATCTACTCCGCACAATATTCTACATTTCATTGAAATTATTTATATATTCTGTTGCCAAACATTTACAAATAAAAATTTTTGTATAATTTCCACATTATACTTGTAGTTATTATATATTATTTGAATAATATTTTATAAATATTTTATATTTTTTCTAAAGAAATATGATTTATACCAATATTTATTAAAAAATTCATGCAATAATTTATAAATATAATGTTAATAAAATTTTGTCAAATATTTTTACCTTGTAATAAGAAATGATGCGTTATCGTTTTTGGAAAACGGTTTCAATAATGATAATTGTTGTTCATCTTCTCTTTCATTATTATTTACTTTGATGAATTGTAATTCTTCTAATCTTTCTATAACTGATTTTTCTAATGTATCCATTTTTATATTTCCATTAATTTTTGAAAAATAAAACATTTTGTAAAATGAAAGTAATGAACAATTTTTATTTTAAACAAATTGAAAAATTCTTCACAATAATAATTTCTCGGAATAAAATTCATATAATTCATCCCATTGCAGCAGAAGATTTAATTTTTTTTTATCATTTCTAATATTAAGGTTAAAACACAATCCACATTCAAAATGTAGGTAAACGTTTTTTTTTTTTTAATTATTTTACGACATGTTGGACGCTGATTTTATATTTGACTTAAAAACGTAAAGTTCATACACAATTTAATTTTTGAAGGTAGGGAAACGTTTCTTTTTTTTAAATTTCTTTCATGAAAACTAAGGAATTTAAATTTCTGAAGTGAGAAACACTAGATTCTTTTTTTTAATCATTTCAAATATTAAGGTTGAAACAGATCGCATATTCAAAATGTAGGTAAATTTTTTTTTTTTAAATTTATTTCATGCAACGTTAGGTGCTTGTATTAAATCTAAATTAAGAACGTAAAGTCAATAAATAATTTTATTTTGGTAAGTAGGAAAACGTTTGTTTTTTTAAATTTTTTTAATCAAAGTTAGGGATTTTAAATTTCTAAAATGAGAAACACTATGAAAATGTTCGCATGCAATGAAGTATAACAGTCTGTTTCCTAATTGTTATTTTCTTGAGCTAATCATATTACATTGAATATATTATAGTAGTATTATATTCTAAGTGATAAATACTTCCTCAACATGAATCTTCCAAATGCAGAATTAATTGCCATTTTAAATCAACGTTTTGGATTACAAAATTTCCGGTCAAGGCAAATAGATATAATTCGTTCAGTGATAGAAAAAAAAGATGGAATATACATTATGGCAACTGGTGAGGGGAAAACTTTAACATATATTTATCCCAATGTAATGGAAAATGTTAAATGTGCCATAATAGTAAGTCCTCTATTGGCATTAATTCAAGATCAATACAATTATGTTACAGGATTAAATGTAAGTATATAAAACTTTCTAATATATGCTATATAATGTTTCCAATATATTGATAACGAGATTAAAAATTTTACACACAACAGTTTAAAGCATTAATGTTAACAACGGAAACATATTTAAATGGAACAATTTTAAGAGATCTACTTACAACCGAAAATGAAATAGATAAACCAAACTTCATATTCATAACACCAGAAAAATTATTCACGAATATGAATGTCCTAGCTGCCCTGCGTGAAGCATATGCTAATGGACAAATTTCTAGAATTGTCCTCGACGAAATCCATTGTCTTAACGATTGGGGGCTGACTTTTCGTTCTAGTTATTTAAATTTGAATCGATTAAAAATTATGTTTCCGGGAATACAAATATCGTGCTACTCTGCAACATTAAACAGACCAATGGTAGAAGCAATAATAAATCAATTATCTCTTAATGATCCAGACATGTTAGTATGAAAGTTGTATATATATGTAGTGAATATTTTCATATTATGGTATGTTCCGGCCAGCTTCACGGACGTCAATATATATATATATATATAAATAAAATAAAAATTTTATACTCACTATTTTCCGATGAAACCCTGGGCTTATTTATTGGAGAAACCTGACATTCTCCACAGAAGCACCCAACAGAACGACCCGGACGACTAAAAAAAAATAATAATAAATATATATATATATATATATATATAAAATAAATAATAGAAGAATACATATATATTTACATGCATATTGATTAATTATAAACATAAATAAACTGAAACAAAACAAATTTTACTTACAATTAAGAATTGAGCATGGTCGTCATCTGTCCAGAATTTTCTTTCAATTCTCGTTTTAGCCCTTGGATGTGCCGCTGTCGGACTTTTGGACTGATGCTAATGTCCTTGATTACACCTTTGCGAGGACGACCAGGTCTGGACTGACCCTCTACTACCTCAATCTCCTCTGCGGCATAATATACGGAAGCCGCTAATCCTTGTAGAGATAAGAAATAATATACCAAACTTGAGCTGCATTTTTTATCACCAGGCACTATAAAAGAAAGACAAACAATTTGAAATAAACTAATATAACTACATATATCAACACAACACTGTTTCCGCATTTACTCACTATTGACGGTTGTTGATTGTTTCTCCATGGTAAATGCAAGCAAACTGACAAGATCTTCGGACCTCCTGCATCTTAAAGGGATGAAAAGTGCTGATCTAAACATTTCTGATACACGCACACAACAAACAAGAGGTCATTAACTGTACCACGAAAGAAGAAATTCATACCTACCTCAAGAAGATAGCCATAACACTTTGAATACACAAACACGCATCACAACATTGTAAATTCATTTTGATGTCACATCATCATTCTTGTCTTCACATTAGCTACTACAGATAAACTCAAGGGATATCAATGTCACAATGAATGTAGGTCAGTAAGCGTAAGGACTATTAAAAGATAGTCTCAATTTCAAAAATTCCAGTCTTATAATCATGTATCTGCGACAACTGGAAATAATTTCATCGGGACGATGAAAAATGTAAGGGGGGGAGACTGTTACATCCCGGTAACAATTTTCCCTAATTTTCCTTAAAATTATCATTAAAATAAGACATTTTATATAATTCTATGATAATTTTACAATACTTAAACTATATTTCTTATTTTAATGTATTTATTTATGTATATATTGATAGGATAGAGTGTAGAAACGAAATCGATCTCAAAAGAGATATGACATTCGTTTTCACCATAAAAGTTCAGAAAGTTGAAAAGCTAAAAATAGGATATATGTAAGCAAAATGTGAAGCAAGTTCGAGCTTGTTTGTTTATACGCGTGAAGAATGTGAAGGTTGTGAAGATCCAAGTGTAATATGATCTAAAAGCCCATTGTTAGCATATAAAAGAGAGAATTCAGAAAGAAGAAGATTCAATGTCATACATGCGATGTAGATCATTACCATATAAGGAAAGTGATTCTATTTATAGATCACCCCTTCCTCAAAAATATGACATTTCTCCCACTAATTAGCATAATCGACTAGTATATAAACAAGAGCTTTTTCCATAAAGCTTGTCAAAAGTTCCGGTGCAATCTCTAACATCGTAGAGCGACCCTTCAGTTTACTTTCGCCATAATTATTTTATTCTTTCCTGATAGCCAATAGGTGCAAGTTAATTTGACTTTTCACTTAGAACATAGTTCTTTCCTGATAGCCAATAGGTGCAAGAGAAGCAAATTAACACTTAGAATCAATAATTTAATGGAAATAACTGTCGTATTTATAACTATAAATACTAAAGAAATCCTGCATTATCTCTTTTTCTAAATTTGTCAATTTAGTATATGTTGCTTCTCTTACACCTGCTATAAAATTCATTCCTGTCAAAGGTGCGAGTGACGAGAAATAATAATAAAGAATATTGCAATTCTTTAAATAGTTATAAAACAATCTAAGTCGTTAAAGTTACACAAGTGCGACCAAAACGAACTATTTCAAATCAAAACCAATTATAACGACTAAGCTATAATCATCGATTTATCCGACTTCATTGCTAAAAGTAAGTAAAAGAATTGTAAACTTGTATCATTATTGTATAATCATTACTATATAATTATTATTTAATCAATAAATGTTATAAAAGGGAATATTTGACTTGTTATTGTAACGCAAAACCCGTAGTTTTGACAAGTGACCACGATTCTACATAAAAATAAATATCAGGCTTTACCAACCTGATTAATCAGCCTTATTACATTTAAGTAAATAAAATTCATTTTATTTAAAAACCACGCCTTGTTCGGAACGTAACATATAAAGAGATTATTATAAAATTATGATTTAAAATTATTTGGAAAAATAATGAATTTTTAAATTTGTTAATTTCTAAAAAAAAATTCAAACGAAGTCAAAATATTTGTGACCGATTTTATATTAAGTACATTGAATTTTTCTCAAAAAAATAATGTAAAAATAATGAAGATTTAAATCATTTTATTGGTGTAGATAAAAATGTGGGTGATGTCTTCCCTTAATCTAAAAGGGGTGGCGGAATTTTTTTATAATATATTACTTACTTATGTATACATGTGTAGAAGCTGTATAAACATTAGAATTAACATTGCAATTTGTCTTTACAGATATATTTTCCTCATTTCCTATTCCTCAAATATCTACTTCTGAAATACCCACTGTTAGAATGCCTTCTGCTTCTTCATCCGAAGATAATAATTTATCGGAAAAAAGAAGATAATAAGAAGGGAAAGACTTCTAGTGCTGATGGATGTGAGGAAGCACATCCCCAAAAACAAGAAATGGCCATGCTACAACGAATTAAGAAAATTAATTGAAAAATAAATATCAACAAATATTGTTTTTTCGGTTCTCAAATAAAGTCTTCAATTTATATTCTTTATATTAAGGTGTCTAATAATTTTTAGTCTTTTAATTCCCGGTTATTCGCGATTTAAGATATTAAAAATTTTTTTTACTACACATTTTAATAAATATGCTTTCTTATTATAAAAAAGTTATTTTTATTGTGAAATTAAACCTTACAAAAACAGTACTGGCCACCTACAATTTTATTAAACGTTTTCGATAATAAAACTATTATTTATCTAACCAAATTAATTTTAATTTGTCAATTGTGAAACGAAGATCATAAAAAAGAAGATTGGACAAGAATAAATAATCTAATAATAACAAATTGTTAAAAATAAAGAAAATTGATCGTGGAATTAAAAATTTGGAAATCTTACAAATTTGTTTGGAATCACTTGAAATTTGTTAGTTAGGGGTTTTTGTGATCGCTGATTAAGAATCGAACCTTTTTTCAGAAATTAAAAATGGATCCAATATAGCGGCCAAAATTTATAATTTTTAGAAATGGAGGTAAATTTTTTATCAGCAATCCCAAAAACCTCCGAATAATAAACAAACTATTTCGAGAAAATTTAAAAAAAATGGGGAAAACAGAAATGACACGAAGGTAAGTAAGAAAGGTTTCCCCTTTTTGTTAACATAAAAAACAATAATTCAAAGTTATAGTATAAATGGAGAAAAGATCGCCCATTAAAATGGGAAAACAGAAATGACACGATTTTTTTCCTGACTGTCGAAATAAGAAATAGAAAAATGTGTAAAAAGAAAGTAGTTGATTCAATCGGTTTGATATTTTTGCATTATTTCTATTGCACGACTGAAAAAAATTATTTGTTCCTCGTCGCTCAGAAAGTCCCATTCATGAGTAAATAAGTTAAAAAGAAGATCATCTACATTAATCGAATATTTTTGGTTTTCAGCCTCTCTGTCTCTCCTTAATTGATTTTCTAAAACTTGCTTTTGTACAGCCATACAACTGGTGAAAGTCGATGTTATTTCTTTGAAATCTCGTCTCGATTGCTTTAAAGTTTCGGTTAGAGTAAGGCGTTGTCCGCAGTGGCGAGACAGCCGGTGTGGCGAGACATTAGGATATTTCAGACAGCTGAACTGACTGTGCTGGCACTTCCGGTCTGAAAGTCATGGTTTATTGTGCTTTAACTTTACAATATAATACATACGTTTTTGATGTACGAAATATCGCTATACTGTTAATAACAGTTTCAAGATATTTTAAAAGTTTTATTTCCCATCGGTATAAGTGATAATATATAATTTCCGGAATTTTCTGAAGGGTTAAATGTTTTGAGTCTTTAGTATTTAAGTTTCCTTCGAAATTTCCAGAGCACTATGAATTATTGTTCGATGCATAGGATTATACATCGTCATTACCGAAAAATGCTTTTTCCGCATTGGCGAGACACTTGTTGTCGGCAGTGGCTTTTTTATATCTAATAATATTGTACATCTCCTAATGAATTTGATATAATTTTTGTACGTTTTGTCGACAATATTTTTCATAACTATAGTTTAAATTGAAAAAGATCAACAGGAAGAAAAGCTTATTTGTTTTTAATAACTGTGACATGGATTAGCGGCTCACAATCAAAAAAATATTTGCCTGCATTTTTATGATTGAATGAAACAATATTATGATTTAAAGGCATCAATTATTATACTCTTTCTCTTTGATTCCTTTGTTTTTGTTACGTTTGAACGATAAAGACTCTGATTTTAAGATAGTGTCTCGCCACTACGGACGATTTTTTACGTCGGTAGTCGCGAGACATTATCGTAAATCGGCAATAACTTTTTTTTGCAATATCTGTTCTGTAACTGTATAAGTTAAATTTGCAGTATAGAGTCACACCTGTCCATGGATATATATACATACTTGATGTTCTTGAAAATGTGAGTGCTATAACAAAAAAACAAAACGTGTCTCGCCAATCTTTGCTTTTTTTGATAAATCATTTGTGGGAATGTTTTGTACTGTAAAATGTTTTCCTAGAATAGATGAAGCATTGAGTCCATTTATGCGAGAATTTGAAGATTGTAGTTGAGATGGCT